CTGCTCCTCTTCCTCATCCTTATCCTCCTCCTGCTGCTGCCCCTCATCTTCCTCCTGCTCCTACTCTTCTTCATCCTTATCCTCCTGCTCCTCTTGCTCCTCCTGGTCCTGCTCCTCCTCCTCCTCCTGCTGCTCCTCCTCCTCCTCTTCCTCCTCCTCCTCCTGCTGCCCCTGCTCCTGTTCCTCTTCCTCCTCCTCCTCCTGCTCCTCCTCTTCTTCTTCCTGCTGCTCCTCCTCCTCCTCCTCTCTCTGGTTTTTGGTTTTTATTGCAGTTAAATCTTGTGTTTACTGCGCTGTAAAGAGAGAGAAGGGACACTAACAAAGCTTTTTAGGGAAAAGGTTAAGTTCATTGTATGAACAGCCTGGATTTAGTGTCTTACCTGCAGCTGTGTGAACACACATTTAGAGAGCTGGGGAATTCCAGCTTGGAAATTCTGGATTTCTCCTGACTCTCAGCTCCATTCCCAGGCTGACAAGCTGACTGCAGCTTCAGTTAGGGAGGAAATCTCCCAGGGTGAGAACATGGTGACAAACAGAGTGGAATTCATCATAAATAATAAAGATTAACTCCTGGTGTCTTTGCCATGGGATCCATCCAAGGATGTTTTTCCCAATTGTCCAATGAGCTCCTTGGAGTTTTGGTTTGACCACTTAAAAACGGTAGGAAAAGAACAGAGGGGCACACAGAACACTGAAAACACAAAATATGGAAATGCAGACCAAATGCTGCATTTCTGGGCTCAGAGAAGACTCAAGTGTGTAATTAATGATCCTGTGAATTTTTCAGGGCACCACAGAAATTGAAATCAGGAAGAAGCCTGGTGGGTCTCTGCTGGTCTCCATGGATCAGGTGAATGCATCCTATGGGAGGAAGGACAGGACCAACAGTGTCATGACTGGGCTCACCAACACCCTTGTTGAGGGTAGGTTTGAGGGTGTTTGGGCACTGCAGGGTGGGTCCAGAGCCCCTTCCAGGACCCAGAGGGGCTCCAGGAGAGCTGGAGATGTTTGGACAAAGGGCTGGAAGGGCACGATGCAGGGGATGGATTCCTGCTGCCAGAGGGCAGAGCTGGAGGGGATTTTGGGAAGGAATTCTTCTCTTTGAGGGTGGGGTTGCCCAGAAAAACTGATCCATTGCTGGGAGTGTCCAGGCTCAGGTTGGGCAAGCCTGGTCTAGTGGAATTCAGCTCCCCCTGCTTCAGAGCAGTGCATATTCATGCATGGTTTAGCCTCAATCTGCTTCTTTTTGGGTCTTTATTGATAAAGAAATATTTATTCGACTTTATTTTACCTGGGTTTTGGCATCCAAATTGCATAGAGATGGAGGTAAAGGCAACAAAGGGTTGTAAGCTGACAATAAAGAGAATGCAGAGTGGAGACCAGAGGAGTCAGGCAGTGTCAGGTCTGGGTGTTCTGTCTTCTACATTTCTCCCAAGCACTGGAGAGAATCTTCCTTTGCTCCAGTTGGTGGGGGAGGAGGATTGGAGCTGCACTGAGAGCTGCAATGTGACAGCTGTCAGGAAAAAAAAAATAAAAAAATTTTAAAAAAAAAGTTGCTGCTGGAATTGTGGGATGGACAGCACACTGAGATGAGATTTCCCAACGTGCTGAGCAGGAGCCAGCAGGAATTCATGAACAGCAGCCACACGAGCTCAAATCCCTGCTGCCTCCTGCAATAAAATTGTAGGAAAACTCAAATTACACTTTTAGAAACAGAGCAGGGTTTTGCTGCCTCTCCCCTCCTGCACAAACACCCACGGGCTCCAGTGCCAGGGGCCCCTTTTTAAACTTCACCAATTCCAAGGCAACTGAAACACTAAGCAACCAGAGAACCAATGGGAGGGAGAGCACACTGGTCCTGTCCTTTCCTTTCCCATAAAAAAATAAAAGGTGAAGGTGCACAGCAGCACAGCCTGACTGCAACCAGCAGGTCGACAAATGGGGGTAAATCCTTCTTTTGTATTTTTTTTTCCTCTCCTAATCACTTGGGATAAGCCAGTGTAAAAATAATTAAAAAAAAAAAAATTAAGTGGACACAGCATTTCTGTGTTTGATGTCTGTAAATGGATGGAGTTAGTGTTAATCAGGTTATTCCTGTTGAAAATCTTCAGCAGTGTTATGTCATCTCTTTCCTCTTTTAGATTTTGTGTCTGTGCTCAGCACAGAATTCATCTCAGTTATTTAAAAACTGGCACCAAAGGCAGTTTGGAATCTGTAACTTTGGTTTTAACTCTTTTACCTTGATCAGCTCCCAGTTTTCAGCCTTTCATCTGGAATAATTTGCACTGAACCATCCTGGTGAAGCACAGGGTTAGAGCTGCAGCTGTGGTGACCTGGGGCAGATGTTGTGTAGGGACAAAAATCCCAAAATCCCAAAATCCAAGAACCCTCGAGGCTGGAAAGGAGCCCCAGGGTCGTTGTGTCCAAGCTGTGGTTGACCCCCCTGCTGTCACCCAGCCCAGAGCACTGAGTGTCCCCAAATGTCACCCCTGGACACCTCCAGGGCTGGGGACCCCAAACCTCCCTTCCCAAACCTGGCCACCCTTTCCATGAAGAATTCCTTCCTGCTGGCCAAAACTTTTCCCAGCTCTTGTCTCCTGTCACCTCCTTGGCCATTTTCACAAAGTTCACAGTTTTGTAATTCTTCATCCTCAGAGATGAATCCTGAACTCTTGCTGTCTTTTGTTTTTTGTTTTGTTTTTTTTGTTTGTTTGGTTTGGTTTTTTGTTTTGTTTTTTGTTCTGTTTTCTTCTGTTTTGGTTTTTGTTCTGGTTTGGTTTTTGGTTCTGGTTTGGTTTTTGTTCTGGTTTGGTTTTTGTTCTGGTTTGGTTTTTGTTCTGTTTTGGTTTTTGGTTCTGTTTTGGTTTTTGTTCTGTTTTGGTTTTTGTTCTGTTTTATTTTTTGTTCTGTTTTGCTTTTTGGTTCTGGTTTGGTTTTTGTTCTGTTCTGGTTTGGTTTTTGTTCTGGTTTGGTTTTTGTTCTGGTTTGGTTCTGTTTTGGTTTTTGGTTCTGTTTGTTTTTTGTTCTGGTTTGGTTCTGTTCTGTTTTGTTTTTTGTTCTGCTCTGTTTTTTGTTCTGCTCTGTGTTTTGTTCTGTTTTATTTTCTGTTCTGTTTTATTTTCTGTTCTGTTTTATTTTCTGTTCTGTTCTATTTTCTGTTCTGTTTTATTTTCTGTTCTGTACCTGCAGAGCTGGAGGAATCCCAGAGGAAATGCCCCCCTTGCTGGTACAAATTTGCCAACACGTTCCTGATCTGGGAGTGCCACCCGTACTGGATGAAGCTGAAGGAGATTGTGAACCTGATTGTCATGGATCCCTTTGTTGACCTGGCCATCACCATCTGCATCGTGCTGAACACTTTGTTCATGGCCATGGAGCATCACCCCATGACCCCCGAGTTCGAGCACGTTCTGTCCGTGGGGAATCTGGTAAGGGAGGAGAGCTCGGGGCTCCCCCACGCCTGCTCCTGCTGCCTCAGCCCTTCCCGTGCCTCACCATCCATTCTGTGTCCAAACTTTGCCTGAACATCAGCACTGAAGCCGAATTTTTATTTTTTTTTTTTTTTTCTTTGTCTGTCTCTCCTCCCCACTGCAGGTTTTCACAGGGATTTTCACGGCGGAAATGTTCCTGAAGCTCATTGCCATGGATCCATATTATTATTTTCAAGAAGGCTGGAACATCTTTGATGGGTTCATTGTCTCCCTCAGTTTGATGGAGCTGAGTCTGGCAGATGTGGAAGGGCTTTCTGTGCTGAGATCCTTCCGCTT